GAAAAGCATTCTTTGTATTCGAATCAATTTGAAATTGCTTTCAGTGTAGAACTGGTTTGACTTTTAAATTTTAAATTGTTTCCAGTGTAAAACTGGTTTGACAGCTGCTGTTCCTGCTGCGCTAGCGGGTATTTTTGTATTTGCATCAGTTATTTTTTTACAAAATGGGACGAAAATTTTTCGCCATTCCCCGCTGTTATAATTCCGCAGCTCAGAATGATATTTCTTTTTATTCTGTCGCAAAACGGTAAGTAATCCGGTAATCCGTTAGCGCAGGCAACATATTCATATTGCTTAACTGTTTTCTAGCAACATTGAAAATCGTGAAAAATGGCTGAAAATTATTAGCTGAGCAGAAATCAGCGAATTGAATTTGTTTGTCTGCTCGGATCATTTCGCCGACGTTGATTTTGTCAATGCATCGATGAAATCACATGGGTAAGTGAAAATAATATAAAGTGAAAATACCACGGATTAATCAAAAAAAATTCCACGCACTATCGGAAACAACTTGATATGCCATAGAGATTGCTGACGTTTATCGTACACACACTAGGTAGCGTATACGTATACGAGAAATGTTTTCATCGGGAAAAAATCTTTCAGAGCTAAAAATTTTCCCGATGAAAACAAATTACTAACACAATCATACTTTAGCAATCTCTATGTTGATTTATTAGTGATGACAGGTGGAATCTGGTATAATTTATTTTATTCAAGATAAATACAGATCGTTCCGTTTATTCCGATCAAAGTGAAATCAATGTATGCTGTGCAGTGTGTGTGTTGAACACGCCCTAATAAAAATTGTAAGGTTAATTTGCTTAACGACGTGTTCGGGATATCATCCAAACCATTTGTGGAATAGTTTAATGATTTGGGTTATCATTCGTTTATGATATTTTTTTATTAGGGCGCAGTTGTTAAACAATAAACATTAAAAGTTTATCTCATCCTCAACTTTATAAGGCAGCGTCCATTTATAACATAACGCTAAAAATTAAAATATTCTACCTCCTCCTCCTAGATAATTAACATCGCTCATAAGCTTCTTCAGTGGTCTTATTGCACCTAACCCGCATAAACGCGAACCATACCTTGACCTTACCGAAAATGGTTACAAATTGTTTATAATCCCTGCTAAACTTTAACTGAAATGGTTATGGAACTTTACATGAACGTTTGTGTGATAAAGTTTTAACCTTATGTATTATGGTTTTTTGGAAGTGAACCTTACAAATAATGGGTTGTTAAGAACCATTACCATTCATAATTCTTGTTTTCTCCATACATTTTCTGAAAGAATACTATATTAGAACCTTTTTACTTATGGTTTGAGAATTTTAATGGTAATGGTTATGGTAGTCAGTAAGGTCCATGGATGGTTTTGTATTGTCGGTCAACTTTACGTGGAATATATCGCGAATTGGTAATCATTAATTTACAGGTTAGATTTAACGGAAGAACTTATATGTCTAATACCTGGAAGGTCATGGTCATGAGAACAACTTTATTGAAGACACTGATTTGAGATATGGTCAATATTACAAGATATTGCACAATAACGAAACTCACACATAGCAACGTGTAGTGTAAAAATTCAGCTACCAATAATTCAATAATGGTGAAAATGATTCAATAATTCAACAATATATATATACATATATCAATTTTATCACCTCCCTTCCCTCGGTCTATGATTTAGTGAGCTACTTGGACGAATGCAGTATCTTTGTATAAAACATTTCAATACGATCGATTTTCTTCACAATTTTTTAATATCGTTGCAAAAACATTCACTGTTGTGATTGTTATTATATGTGGTAGATATGTAATACATTACATCTTTTAGAGCCTCCCTTAGATGTATTCATACTATTTCTGCTACATAGTTTGATAAAGGAGCTTATGGAGAATAGCAACCGCATCAAGTAATATGTTTGCCACTGAATTATTAACGAAAGACGAAGTCGATGAAGAGAATAAATCAAAATCACTTGCACCCCGTTGCCTCTAATCCCCTCATTTGAGAGCAAGCGTAAACTTCTAGCTGGGGCATAATAGCCAATGAAGAAAAAGAAGAAGATTACATTTTTTTCTTTAAACCATTTGGCACAAATAGCATGAAGCATGTTTGCAAAACTGTAGTTACTCAATTAGAATATTGAATGAATCCTGAAATTAATAGATTAATGCAGACAGGACCTCTTGAAATGTTAATCTAGATATGGCCAGCATATGCATAAATACAAAAACTTGTTTGTACAAATTTTTGTGAGCTTTAAAACAACAGTTCGTATTAAGCAGGATGAACTGTTACGCTAACGGTCATTTCAAAACGTAGTCAGAAATTATACCGTTTTATGTCAGATTAAGCTGGCATAAACGAACACGCTAAATATAAAATGATTGAAGGAAGAAAAAATCGATGTTGATTTTTCAATCGTCAGAGTAAACACTTTCTGAATCAGCGTTTGTATGAAGTTGCTATTCCTTTCTTTGGTAGAGCACTACTTCCATAGAGGTAACTCTAAGACCACTGGGTCCCGAAGAAAATCATTATTATTTTTGGCTCACTCAGTACCAGAACAACGGTCCCAAGCAGTCCCAAGCTATTTCACTCACCCCTGCATGTTCTGCATGAATCCACACACCCCTGATGTTATCTGTCAAACTTTCATAGCGAATCAAAACAAACATAGTGTTGTAATAGAATTTCAACTAGAATAGGGTACGTTAATCGTTTGCTTGGGACCAATAGGCTACTAAAGTGGTGAGCCAATTTAAAATCGTTAGTTTCGTATTGATTATTGCTACTTCCGTTCTATCAAGCAGACAATATCAATAATATGTTTGTTCGGATGCTTTATTCCATAATCTACACCAAAAAGCATATTAAAGTGAATTGTATGAATATTTACACACATTAGACTTGATTTTCAAAAAAAAAACCTTTGTCAATATGTCATTAATTTTTTCGTCATTGACGATTCCCCTGTTAACTAAAAGTGTAATTTCGTTCATTCTGTGTCACATTATTGTTATTCAAGCAGTTCAGGACGAAGATGCTTGTTTACTTTAACGATTCCATGTAATTGTTTTCCTCAAGGCATATACACCCCTATTCTGTATTTCGTTTCGAACGAAATTCTCATACAAAAAAATATTTTTTTGTATGAGAATTTCGTTCGAAACGAAATACAGAATAGGGGTGATAATTTCGTTACAAATTAAGCTAATAAAAAAGTAAAAGGTTGTATCCAAGACACGACCGTATATTTGACGTAGGATTACAAAAAGTAGTTTTGATGTCACAGCAAAAGTATAACAAATATTAAATTGATTTCTTAAAGCGTTATCACTGAAAAAGTTCGATAGGTTGAAATTCGGAAGCAATTTGAGAGTTCTGTTTTTGAGTTGCTCTGTCGGTGTCCATGAAGTCAATCCTGGACAATGCGTCTTGGATAAAGCTACTACTTGAACTCTTTACTTAAATTTTTTATTTGTGGTCCTGAAAAGGACCGATGGGTTGAAAGCTTGGAAGCCAGTTTGGAACAATGATGTGGAATTTTTTCCTCGATGTTCTTGGAGATGATGCGTTGCGGTGCTCATGCGTTGCACCTGGATCGATTGGTGAACATTTTGGTGAAGTGCGCTGGCAATTGATGTTCTTGGCGAATTCATACGTTACAAACAATGTACATCTTTGTTTCAAAGGGATATAGTTCTACCTTGTCTTGAAGGCCCTTCTCCAGCATCCCAACCAGTAGATAAAGCAATGTTGTCTCTAACCGTCCTTATCCTGTCTCGGTACCATCGATTTCTTTCAGCTTCTTGATCGGAGGTTTGTGCGCTTGCAGTTCCTTTGCGTGCTTACGTGATGCGCACTTGTACCAACAATCAATACGAAACTAACGATTTTAAATTGGCTCACTACTATTGGTCCTACGCTATCCTAGCCTATTGGTCCCAAGCACAATTCTAATATAAATTCCAGTACTACACTATGTTTGTTTTGATTCGCTATGAAAGTTTGACAGCTAAAATGAGGGGCTGGTGGATTTTCTTATGTTTTGAAGGGTGCATTGATTAGCTTGGGACCGAAAAGAGTACCAGAGCTGAGCCAAAAAGTTGAGCACGTTTCTTCGGGACCTTCTAGTCTTAGAGTTACCTCTATGCTTGTATTGTGTAGCCAAATGCTGTGACATGTCTATATCGATATACTCGCAAACAATTTCTCAAATATCACTTACTTCGCATATGCGAACTAACATCCGATTTTGACCTTGACAAGTCTCGCGTCACTTTTCAAATAGACCAATTTGATCGATTCTCTTCATCGACTCTCTCTTTCGTAAATAACTCGGCTCCAAAAACATGTTCAGTTAATCTAAAATTGGGCCCATTTCTAAAAATCTGCTATTTATCAATTTTATCTAGATGAACGCGTCATTGGGACGGTACTAATGGATATTTTTGGTCACTATTGAAAATTTAGTCGATTGCTGAATTTATGTATGGGCCTAAATTAGGGCATATAGGCCGACATTACATCCATTTCCACTATTTGGTATAACAATGGTTTGGAATAAATAAATATTTCAAAATAGATTAATGTTTTCCTTGTTATCCTTATTGGTTTCGAAGCCTTAAAGTGAGAAATTCATGTTGATTTCGCATAAAGCCTTAGATACTTGGAAATACTTAATTGATACTAGAGTCATAGTTTAGAGTGGAATGCCCTTTGAGACAAACTATTATTTAATGTGATAATGAAATAACTGCAACAACTTTTATAACAAGTCAAATCATAAAACTATTGATCAATTTCACCCCATTGCAGTATTTTCAAATTTTCGAACAATATTTATTCAAATTAAAACTTATGTAAATAAATTAACAAATCAATCTATTAGGTATTGTTAGCTGTCTACCAGTACTTGTTTAAAAAACAAATTAATTTAAAATAAACTACAAGCAAAGAAAATATTCTCATCTGACCATTGGCATAACTACGAGTCCCCCCTAAGATTATTGCAGCTGCCTCTATAATTGATACTACAGTTACTTATTTTCCTTAAACATTAAAATTGATCGCTTTTTGATTTATTGAGAAGTTTGAAAAGTAAATATAGCCTCTCTAGGGATTTCCCTTAGTAACGCCAATGCATATTACTGAAAATTTTGATCAATTTGCACCCGCTTTACATTATATAGATCTTGGAGTAGAGCATGTTAATCGGTTGGAAAGCAAATTATTTGGCAATTATTTATATAAGGGATTTCTCTAAGAGTAAAACAAGCATAATTATGTACGCATGTATTGTTTAATGAATCTAAAATAAAACTGGCATCAAAGCAGAACTAGTGCGAAATGGTTATTCGATTAAGTAAGCACCTCAAATCCGATGCACATCAACAGTAGTTTTTGTTGTGTTCTACTTTGGGAAAATCTACCAAATAATAATGCCTATAAAGATTTTAATAACGTTTGTAAACACGCTTGTATAGAAACTACACACTTAGCAAAACTCATATAAATTTAGGGGCTCTGAGAGTGACACATACGAGCGTCAATTTTGACATAAAGTTGAGTCATAACAGACGTGAAATATAACTTAATCAAACGTACTTTTCGTCGAGCAAAGAAACTTTTCAGTCTCGGAGCACTTGATATTACATGACATGTTTTTTTATGACACAGATGGATTCCGTCACTTGTAATATTAGTTATTTCTGAGTGTGTACTTTCTTTATCACATATTTTATCTTACTTGGTTAACTTCTTCCAGAACGTTGCTGAAATTGATTCTAACGACAGAGGTTTACTGTTACGAATATGATTGAACCGATACTAGGGCTGCGTCATCGTGCTGGACGAATTGTTTGGTAATTCCTGGATGAAACTGCTAGCAATCTATCTAGACGTTCTCGAATAAATGTCAAATCATAACTTGAAGTATTCACTATAAAGGTTTATCCAATAGCAGACTTGTTTCTTTTTTTTTTTTGGTTAAGGGTTTTAACCGGATTACGGTCATTCACTCCAATAGCAGACTATGTATTGCACTTAATGGTTTGATTAAAGTTTCCTTATCATTAAAGCTAATGTACTTTTACTTGCCAGCTGTCATCACTCATCGATGCCTCATTTACACGTTTGACGCTACGGAGGTTCGTCGCTTGAGTTCACCTTTCATCACTTCGTTGGGGTTGTTTTCCAATGCAGGTGCTGCTGCCGTTGCTCCTGAAAGTATATCCAGTGCCATTTCAGTCGATTTCATTTGAGGGTGCGCGTTGATGGTCGCATCTAAGTTTTCGATGAAATATTTTTTTTTCTCGACCTGGTAGGTACTTCTTGGAAAAAAATAACTATACAATGACCATACAATAAAATACAATCAAAACAAAGTCTATTGCCAACAATGGATCTTATTGTACGTATATTATACAAGAAATTTTAACATATTGTTATTACTGTAGATGTACAATACGTCCCATATAGTAAAACCGTTCAGCAATAGAACAACAATACAATGTATGGTAAATGGGTCAAATTTTTTAGGAAAAAAGTGATTTTTCCTACGGTTAAGATAGATAACAACCCCCTTGTTCTATTGTTGATTTCCCCATTTACTATAGATTCTATTGTAGACTACATTTTATGTTTATGTTATCCTTGTGGACAGTACGATTTATTGTGAATTCAATAAATTCTATTGTATGGTTACAATCCATTGCATTGTACCTTTATGGTTCTTTTTACGGGTTAGGGTAAATGGCTCTAATATTGGCCTATGGATCTAAGGTTGGGCCCATCGCTAAAAATCTGCTATTTATCAATTTTATCTAGATGAACGCTTCATTGGGACGGTACCAATGGATATTTTTGGTCGTTATTGAAAATTTAGTCGAATGCTGAATTTATGTATGGGCCCAAATTAGGGGCATTTAGGCCGACATTACATTCATTTCCCCTACTACTAGATTATTTGGTGATGTTGTATTTAGGGTTGCTTCCACTCACATCGCTATAAAAAAATGTTTTTCAGGAATTCAGGCTTGCTTCCACTCACTTGCTATAAAAACATGATTTTCTGAATTTTTAATTTATTAGATATTATAATCATATTTTGTACTTGTTACATCCAAGAAGAGGTTGAAAGGCAAGTGTTTGACACATGAAACGTATCAAATTCGCTTTCAGATAGTCATAATCAGCGATTTTATGACTCGCGAGCGCTCACTCTGAGTGAACGCTCATGAATCATAAGATCGCTGATTGTAACACTCTGGTAGCGAAATTGACAGGTTTTATGAGTCAAACACTTGCCTTTCAACCTCTTCTTGTATCTAACAAATACATAATATCATTATAACATAGACAAACAGACGTAACTTTTCATTGTGTATCTTCGTTCATGCATTTAACGGTTGATTTGAATATTATCAGTTCCGCGAACTACTCGCCGCAGCGCTGGCATCGGATCACTTTGACGTTTCTATATATTCTATAGAACTTTTATGCAATATTGTTTACGAGTTAGCGAGCAAGCTTGTTTTCCGCGAGAAGCCAGAGAGATGTCGTTACTGAGGTTATATGTTTTGAGATACTATGTTTTCAAGAACAAGTTTTTTTTAAGAGTTACGTCTGTTTGTCTGTGATTATAACATCTAATGATTTCAAAATTCAGGAAATCATTTTTTTATAGCAAGTGAGTGGAAGCAACCCTGTTCAGGATTATGAAATCATTATATTTTATAATGGTATTTTGTATCGCTCACGCTCACGAGTCGTAAAATCGCTGATTGTGACGCACTGAAAGCAATATTGACAGATTTTATGTGTCAAACCTATACTTCATGACCCCTTCTTGTAACTTACATGTACAACATATCATCATAACATCTAATGATTGCATAATTCCGAAAAACATTTTTTTATAGCAAGTGAAGAATCATAAGATCGCAGATTGTGACACTCTGAAAGCGAAATTGACAGGTTTTATAAATCAAACACATACTTTACACCCTCTTCTTGTAACTTACATGTACAACACATAATTATAACATCTAATGATTGCATAATTCCGAAAAATATTTTTTATAGCAAGTGAGTGGAAGCAACCCTGCAGAGAATCACAATTAGCGATTTTACGATTCGTGAGCGTTCACTCAAACTGAGCGCTCACATATAATACAATCGCTGATTATAGCACTCTGAAAGCGAAATTGATTGGTTTTATGTGTCAAACACATACTTTTCAACCTCTTTTTGTAAGTTACAAGTACAATATATATATAAAGTCTGGAACGCGCAAAAATTGGTCAACTTTAAATTGGTGTATTTCTGTTAAAAATGCATAAAAAACCTGAAATGCTGCATTTGGAAGTTGAGTGTATATACAATGGTTGCTATGATGAGCAGCGTTGCCAGTATTCCAGATTTATCTGGATTTCCCAGATTTTCGGTCTTCCGGCCAGATACACAGACAGATCACGTATATTTCCAGATTTTTAAAATATGTTCCAGATTTTCCCAGATTTTTCAAACATGTTGCTTTAAAAATTTCATTGCAATTGGTTTAAACTCTAATCAAAAAATAAAAACTGCTACTTTAATTATTAAAGGCCATCAACATTGGATATTATTGTAACACCGTACATGGAATTGTTAAATCATGGTTGCATGTGAATGAATTGCATAATCATGAATATGGAGGCATTTTCTAAATATTATTTGCTGAAAAAAGCCATCAAACTTTTAAAAATATTGGTCCTGAATGTTTGTTAAATTGGAATTTTTATTCAATTTTTTTTCTACATAAAAAGAAATCAAAATTTTAATGTGGAGGAATTTTCATAATATTTTAATTTATGGAAATCGAAAACTATTCAGGATTGAAAACAATAAATTGAGCCTTGGAAAATTTGGCTTTTGAATCTAGACAATCATCAGGACGTTGAAGTATGCTTGTTAGATTTTTGAGGATAATTCATAAGAAAATTTTTAAAGGCATCTGATATTTTTTAGCATTTTTTATGTACCTGCACGCAAACCAAAAATCTATTACAATGAATGTTAGTTCCGTTTCCTATCTTCCTCTGTTCATGAACATCGCAGCGAATGTTAGAAGTTGACCTTACAGGCGTTGTAATGGTTTTTTGTCTTTTTCATTGCGTGTTCTATCTACGCTTTCGACTATACCAGTAAGCTTGTAGAACGACGCACATTGTAGAACATTATAGAACGACGCACACACTTGCCTCGAAGTCGAGTATGCGAGAAAATGAGCGCTTCATGTTTGCTTTTAGGCTATCCATATTCAGGAGCATGGAGAGAGCAGTGGAGAAAGCACAGGTCTGATAATCGAAGTGTTCTTGGTTCGAGTCCAGTCGGCAATCGAATTCCTATTTTTTTCGACATAACTAATTTACCTCACTAATACACTCTACATTTTTCGGTCTCCAATTTTCTTGCATTGGACCGCAGCTAGGTATATCGCATCCTCGGTTCATGCGGTCGCCACTAACATCCTCTGATGATGAATCCCACATAATTGTAAGCGAATCTTACATGCCTCGGTTGGGTGTGTGAATATTGAGTGAAAGCAATCTGAATAACTTTAGAATTCTGAATTTCCCTAAAATTTCAGAATTTTAAGGTAATTGTGAAAATAGTTTACAGTGAAGTGTGAGGTGAATTCTTTGCGAAACCAAAGGAGAATTTCAAATTAATTCTGAGTAGAGTTCCATTCATCTTTGTCACCCGTCCTTCGGGCGTTCCACGAAGTGAGAGTTCGATTCCCGCTCCAACCAGTGGAACTTTTCGCAACCTGAAAATGTCCCTACTGGGTGTGGTGTGTTGTCAGTTTTCTAGTGTTAAGTTTTCAGTCTGTGCAACCTCTGGTTGAAGACAGTGTCCGTTGTCTTTTAAAAACTCTGATGATAATTGCATGGAGATTTTGTGAAGAATGGAAATAGAATTCGGAAAAGAAATCAAAGAAATTTCTTAAGATGAAACTTAAGCAGTATGCTGATACGAATCGTGCGAATAATTCCAATGGAATTCTGTCCAATGTTTTTATGGAGATTCATTTTTATAAAAAATTTAAGAAATTATGAATTATGCCAAAGGAACGTCTGGCAATTTCTGGGAGACTTTTAATGCCATTTTGGCAAAGTATTTGAGTACTCAGTAAATACTGAAGAGGATTTCAAAACAATTCTGACCTTACCTACAAAGCAGCTAGAAGAGAATTATCGGATATGTCTGAGAATAGTGTGACGGTCATTCTGAAGAGTGTGCCAAGGAAATTATTAAGAATATTCTAAGGGAATTCCATAGAGAAAGATGAAAACAAAATTATTCAAATTCATGGAAATTGAGTATGGATATTATCAAGATTATTTTAGGGGAATCCAGAAAAGAAGTATGATGGAATTCTAAGATGATTCAAATGGAACCCTAAAAAAAGGACGAAGATATCCTGTAAAGAGTTCCAGGTAAATTCAGACTAACAAAAAATTTCATGATCTGGGACCCAGAAAATATATAAATTTCGCTTTCAGGCTTTCATTTTAGTTATATCATAAAATTATTCGTAATGGTAATGCAAACTGTTAAGTTATCTGTAGTTTAGGTAAACTGTGTGTGAGTACCACGATGTAAGGCTTTAATTCCCACTTCAGCCTGGTGAATTTTTCTTTAAAATAAAATTGCCTACTGCGTACTATGATGTCAAGAATTACATTGAAAGTCTGATCAACCTCAGAGTAATATTAGAATTATTTAGAACTATTAAAATCTTTAAGACATACTATGGTACTGCATCAAAAAGTAAGGACTACATCAACTTTTAATTTGAAAAATCCATTTCATGAAAGTTGCATGATTCTTTGCTTCTCATTCTTTTTATAAAAGTTACAGTTTAAAAAGCAATTCTAAAAATATATTCTACAGTATTTAACCAACCATTTAACTCAATTTTTGAAATGCTGTGTAATGGATATTTGAACTTTTTTGACACACTGTGCCAATACTTTAATTAACATGTGGATGATTTAAGCAATGCCAACAAGTTATTTGTTTTATATAATTTATTTAAACATGTAATTCATAAAAAAATTGGTACTTTGAATAAATTCCAGATGATCATACAGACTGATTTTTACGGGAGATTGGCATATCACTTTGATTTCAATAGCATTATGTTAAAACAGGATTTTTTGGAGCCTTCCAGATTTTTCCAGATTTTATATTTTAACTGGTCCAGATTTTTCTGAAAATGACCTGGCAACGCTGATGATGAGTTTTCACCGTTTGCTCTCCAGTTTTCAAAATGACGTCCAAGCAAGAAGAGCAGCGTGTCAAAATTTTGTTCGCGCAGCAAGAGAATCCGACGTTCCCACACACCAAGTTGGCAAAATTGCTGGATGTGGCCAAATCGGCCGTGAAAAACGTTTAAAAAGTGTTCGGGGAGCGTCTATTGACCGTCAGGGAGCCTGGAAGCGGCGGCAATCGAAATCCGGTCGTGGCAGCGACGACGAAGAAGGTGGCGGTGAAATATAAGCGGAATCTTAACCTTTTCATCCGGGACGTCGCTGGCAAGCGCAATGTCTTCCATACTACTGTGCAGCGGGCCAAGAAACGGGTTGTCGAAGTTTAAGAAGATGAAGGTGGCGAACCGATATTACAAACAAAACACGTCGGCAAAGCAGCGGTCCCGAAAGCTGTTTACGAATCTGCTCACAAAGTTCGACTGTGTCGTCATGGACGACGAAACTTATGTGAAGGCGGATTTCAAGCAGCTTCCAGGACAGGAGTTTTTTACCGCATCAGGAAAAGGAAAGGTGGCTGAAATTTTCAAAACCATCATACTATCGAAGTTCCTGAAAAAATATCTCGTCTGGCAGGCCATATGCACGTGTGGTCTAAAAAGCAGCATTTTCATTACTACGGGAACCAGCAATCAAGAGATCTACGTTCAGGAGTGCCTGGAAAAGCGGCTGCTACCATTCCTAAAGCAACATAATAGACCTGTGCTGACTTGGCGAGCTGCCACTATGGGAAAAAGGTAATCGAGTGGTACGATGCGAACAACGTGGTTGTGGTACCCAAAGACCACAACCCTCCCAACAGTCCAGAACTCCGCACTATCGAACGGTATTGGGCCTTGGTCAAACGGAATCTCAAAAAAAAAACTAATAAATGCATGGAAAACGAGCAGCAGTTTAAGTCTAACTGGCGTTCGGCGGCGAATAAAGTCGATGAGACCACTGTGCAAAATTTAATGGAAGGGGTTAAGCGGAAGGCACGGCAGTTTGGATTTGGCAAACAAAAAGAATAAACGAACATTTCAGGCATAACATTTGATAACGGCACAAAAGCATTTGTAAACAAACAGTCTAAGGCCCTTTACACGCAAACCAAAGTACGCCTACGCAAACCAATACCACTTTCGCAAAGGTGATAGTTGCCCCTATCCGAATAATATTGTTGGTTGGTTGGTTGTCTTTATTAAGGAGATTTTCAGCTTAATAAAGACTATAATGTTGTTGGTTTGCGTAGGCGTACTTTGGTTCGTGTGTAAAGGGCCTTGTAGTCGAGTGTAAAGGGCCTTGAAAGTTTGTTTACAAATGCTTTTGTGCCGTTATCAAATGTTATGCTTTTTTCGTTTAAATATATGAATTGAACTACCAAAAGTAAAATAAGAAGATTTTTGTGATATGAATTTTGACTGAAAGAAACGATTTTTTTGTCGACCAATTTTTGCGCGTTCCAGTCTTTAGCATCCAATGAATCCATATTTAAAAAAATATATGGCGTAATGAGTGGAAGCAATCCTGGTTGTATTTTAATTTTTTGTCGAAAATTCTCCAAATTGCTTAGGTCTATTTTGTCCAAACATCTTCATTATCGTTGGTCAATTAATATCGGCACCAATTACATTTCCAATGGACGAGATATATTTGTGAACAATAAGACTAAACACCGATTTCTGCTGCATGAAAACACACTCTCACAAACTAAGAACCCCATGTCTGTTGCATAATTAATCAGGAACTTGTGTTTTGAAAATCAATATATTTAAAATGGGGATTTCAGGTTACAAGTTGTTGTAGATTCGTTATGCTGCTCACCCCAGGATGAATTGTCATTTATTTCAAGCGGACATCAGTGATGGACAAGAAAACCAACCGGTACACACATGTACTGGTACGGTCCTCAAAATCGCAACACGTGTGAACGAATGGTGCACACCGTGTAAAGTTTTCATTTCGTTTACACGGTAAACGACACTGAAACCAAAACCGGACCTCGGTTTCGAAAACACAACCGAATCCATCAGCACCGTTTACACGTGTAAACAAGTTTGGGGTCGGGTGTATGGACTATCAACCACGGATTCCATTCAGGTTTTGCAAACCGAATCTGGTTTTTGTTGAACATTGTTAAACGGTTGGGCAAAGAAGCTGTAAATGGAGGTGCAGTGCTGCCGAATTTGTAAGTGAATTAAAACTTGGAACATCAAAATTCATCTTCATTTTTTACATACCAAACTCGTTTACCGGTAAGTGAAAACCAAAAATAAACCGGGGGGTTGGTTGGTTTACAAGCTTCGATGGAAACACAACCAGTATATAAATCAAACACGGTGTGTAGCAGTCAAGAACACGTGTCGTGCTTTGGTGAACCGCACCGATACGCAAACGGTTTTTTACCAACTCTGGCGGACATACGGTTCTTATTTGTGTTTCATGTTTAAACATTTCTCGATGAACATTTCAAATGGTTCTATCTGCTTTGATCGATTCTTTTCATCGACTTTCTCTCATCGACTTGTGCTTAGTACGTTGAACACAGCAGGGAATGTTATTGACTTCTTGCCGCAAGATTTCACCAATACAACGTTGCTAGTGTAGCCGTGTAAAATCGATTTGTTTATTATTTTCAACCACGAAATCAGCTGTCAAAGTGTTCGACTTCACAGCGGTTTGTTTTTTATTTTCAACCAGTAAAACGCATGTATTAGTGAAACTGCTCACTAATACTAATGGTGGTAAAGAACTCTATTGACGTTGAGTTAGTACGGAAGAGAAAGTCGATGAAGAGAATCGGTCAATGCAGATAGGACCTTTTGAAATGTTTATCTAGATTTATTTCTAGCTGATCATTTCAATTCATCCTTTCTGCGTTATTCGCTTCTCTTCATCGGCTTTCTGTTTCGATACTAATAGCGAATTCGTTTATTATCGGGGTTAACACCAGTTCCAACCCAGTGCGAAACCGAACTTTTTGTCAGTGTGAACCTCAACCTGAGCTAGGTTTTAAAAACAAACGAGCAAACTGACGTTTGTCAGAAAACAAGCAGACCCAATCTTGATACCCGATCCAGGTTGGAACTGAATAATAAACGAATTCGCTATAACTCAGCTGCACAATAATTCCCAGCTAAGTTTGACGTATGGGCCACTACATGCAACTGGGAAATGTAAGATTCTATAGCGGATTTGTATGAAAATGCAAAAATTGTACAGGTTTAAAATGCTCTCAATTAACAACCGTGGAAGTGTTGAACACAGAACAACAAGTTGAGAACCGGCATAAAGTCCCAGTGGGTTCGTAATAAAAGCCAAAAGAAGAAGTGGCAAAAATAGAACGCAATTTGTTTGCATAGCCGTGCTTATCAAAAGAGAAAGTTGATGAAGATAATCAATCAATGCAGAAAGAACCGATCTAGATTTGATGTCCAATATTAATCGAATAACCGTTAGCGCTAAAGTAAGCTGTCTTCCTATATATGACACATCCAAACGCCAAAAGCCCTTCATTCGATGCACCATGATATCATTGCTCTCAATTGTGAAGGTCGAAAGATGAACGTTCAACCAAAGGAGACATTGTCTTCGCCTTCGGGGGATCACCCAGGGTACCAGTAATTCTAGTTCGTGACTTCCTTATTTTCTGAGCATCAACTGTGTGCTTTTCTAACCCCCAATATTGTATTGCATAGTTCCAGCTCAGAGTGCAATGCGTTATTCACTAAATCCCGGTGCGAAGACCCTGCAGTGGAAAAACTACTTTCGTCGGGTCATTGGCGCTTCGAGTTGATGAGCTACAGATAAGAACGATGGCTTCTTGTTGTTTCCATTCAATCTCATGTTAGACTTTAAAATTAGTCATTGTCATCAAATATAATAGGAGTATTTTTTTTTCAGTAAATTGACTGTATGCATTTACCTGTCTCTTGCCGTGCTTGCTGATCACCTCCAAGTAGCTGTTTAAACATAATATCACAGGGCTTCTCCACAAAGAGGTAAGCGCAGGTCGCTAGCGCGTATGTCAGCATCGTCACCGAGCAGAATACGTTTATCTAAAAAATGAAGCAGAAATTCCAATCAACATTTGTCATAATAGCACATTCCACCACCGATCGATCCTACCACCACCAACAGCGATCCTCGCAGCCCCTCGTTGTAGCTGGCGTACACCGTCTTGAGCACGTTCATGTGAATCAGATAGAATCCGAAGCTAAGCCTTCCCAGCACCCGGTAGTAGGCATTCTCCAGCATTTTGGACGCTTTCAGCCGACCGAAAAAGGAATCCCTGTCGGCGAACATCAGCACCAGAAAGCCAACGTTTAGGAAGGATGCCACCACGAGCCGATGCAGCCCGGCATAGATGGCCATCCACACCGAGGGTTTTTCAAAATCGTAGTGATGGAACAACGGCGCCGGTACGCTGAAGAGCACAACCAACGGAAAGACGGTGTACTGGAGCGTTTTGTAGAGCTGTTGAAAGGAAATTAAAGTTGCGGAGTGTTATATGTTTAATACCTATATGGTGCGTCCAAAAATTACTACGCATCACTCGTCGTTCGAAATGGCACACCGAACAGAAGAATTCGTGTTTGTGGCAAACTACGACAACCTTGGTCACCTTGGAGGAAATTAGTAAATGAATAATGTGGAATCGTCGATGATGTACATGTCTCCCCAATATTAAGGGCCACCGTATGCAAGTTGGGCTAACTAAAGAGCGCATCGGGTGGAGTCACATTTTTATCACATTTCACTTACAAGAAATGCAGAATGTAAACAAACCGATAGCGATGAAACTATTTCCCTAACTTAACCCTAAATACAATTTACCTTAGATTTCGCTAGATACAGGTCATCATTTTGCATCTTATGGTAGATTATGCCAACCAGAATTCCCCCGAAGTAGCTGATACAGTGGGACTCCGTAGCCTGGTAGGTCTGGGTAAACCATTTGTCATACCACAGTTGGAATGCATTTCCCCTGGAAAACGTGACAACAATTTTGAACACTTCTTCATATGCCTTCAGTACTTATTTGAAAACTTACTTATTCGTCAGCAGCATCATCGCATCCATCGAGTGGTAATAGATATTCAGCATCGGCAGCACGGTACCCACCGCCAAAAGCACCAGGGCCATCGGCCGCTCGATGTTCTGAAACCTATCGAAAATTTTCGAAGTTTGTCATTCTGTTGCCAATCTATTTATTGGGAAATTACTTACTTCCACAGTACCATGAGCAAGGCAAACCCGACGACGAACAGCTGGAAATCCGCTGCCAGATACCACGTATGAATCAAGCACTAGAAATAAATCACCCATCATCGTAAAATTTACACTACATCTTATTCAGGTCCCTCTCTAACCTGTTCTTCCGGCCGGTAGTAATTGTTGATAAACAGAAAGTTAGTCCACCACTTGTCCCGGCAGATTCGTCGCACCGTTGGTAGTATCCGGTAGGCCGAGGGGCTGACCGGTAGCCGATCGTACACCGAAACCGTAAAGAGCATTAGCACGGCATACACCGGCAGTGACCGAAGATACCGATTGACCAATCCCATCCAAAAGGGTTTCCAACTGAAGCGCCTGGTTTGAGTGTATTTGGTAAACTGCAGCGACAGCAAAAGGCCACTGATGGCAAAGAAAAAGTCCACCTGGAAGGGCACCACAGCGAAAAACATCTGCACACCCGGGACCGAGAGAAACTGGAAAGAGAAAGAAGAACATCAAGTGACTTCAACGAACCGGTTGAAAGTTACAGGTGACGAACCTTTTCCATCACTTCCGGGCTTTGGGTTGTCGTCATGGCCAATCCTATCACAACGTGACTGATTGTGATCAGAGTCATTATCCACACCCGGATCGCATCCAGAAACCGTAGGTCTTGCAGTATTTGGTTGGTCTTTAGTTTGATCGTGAGCCGGTTGATATTTCTCCTCAGCGAGAACGCTGTCAACAGGGTGGAAACTAGAAGTCGGTGGTGGAATAAAATGTCTCCAATCGAAACTCAACCAATCGTACTTACGCTTGTTCCTGAACGGTTTTCGATAGCAATTCTGATCATCTTCTTTGGTCAGTTTATAATCGTAGATTGAAGATCCTAAGACGAGTGTAAGCAGCAAGGCGATGGTCGCATAGAAGAGGATGTCCCAAAAATCTGCAACAGCAAGAACGGTGTTTTGGATCAATCTGAAAATCAGTTTCACGAAGGACTAATCAAACCTGATGGCCGATCGGTAGTTGCATTAGTTATGCAATGCTCGATTTCTGAAAAAACGGTTATATTGTGCGTAGATTGGAACCGATAGTTCAGGCAGATGTTGACTAGAGAACCGTACTGCTGTCGGTAGTGGCTGATGTTCGGAAGCAACCAGTCGTTGATAATGTACTGAAAGCAAAAATATATGATTGTTAAGCGATCTTATCCACTAAGCCGAAAGTTTTCGTTAGTCGTTCTTCATTTACTCGCTGGACGGACCTACAAATAAGACAAATGCTCCAAACGCCCAGGATATTGGACCCAAAGTTTTTTTATCGAAACCTCAGAAAATGTGTGAGGCAATTTGGATCATTGGCAATGGGAAAAAGTAGAATTGGTATAATCTAAAATGTTTTTGAATATAACGGACTTGATACAAATACACCCTGGTCACTCTATTTCAGAATGTAAATACCTGTTTTTTCTTCTGGTTTTCCCGGTTTTTTTCGGTTTAATTGGAACATCTAAATATGGTAAAATATCCGAAGTAACATCACAAAGTTCATCGCATTTTAACCTTTGCGTGCCTAACGTCTAAACCTGCATAGATTTCAAAATTCAATTAGCTCTAAACACATCATTTCTCATTTTTTTCTGCAAAATAAGTTGCATTCTGTCGGAAATTTATTCAAGTTTTTTAATCCGTCAGATGATTTTTTGATCAATACATGGTTCCGCAATTATTTGGGTTTCCATCGGGGTCACTCTGGGACGGCATTGGGATTTACTGTTCTGAAATAATTATACACACGGTGAACATAATATTTTCTCACGCAAATGATGAAATCGTACCAATGGTGGCTGTACCGATGGTCCATGATGACATTGGGCATCTCTGAAAAGTACAGGTTCCCCCGAGGAAGTGGCCAATTCTCGACAAGAATCAAAATCTGTCGTGCTACATATCAAACTTCATGATTGTTCAAAACTTTGTTGGTAATGGTCTTATTGACAGTCAAAAATCATAGTAGCCCTCCCGGGCATGTTTCAGTGCCCTTGGAGGAGTCGCCAATTCTCAACAAGAACCAAAACCCGTTGTTCGACATATCATGATTCATGTTTTTTTTTAAACAACGCCGATAACGGCCTTATTGACAGTTCACTATAACACTCGCCTTCCCGGGCATCTTCTGATGCCCCCGGGGAAGTGACGCATTTTGACAAGAACCAAAACTTGTCGTGCAACATATCAAACTTGATGGTTTTTTTTTTAACTCGGCAGGTAATGGCCTTATTGAGAGATCAACGGTCACATTGGCCGTTCCGGATATGTTCCAGTCCCCTTGGGGAAGTGGCCAATTCTCAACTAGTATTTAAACCTGTCATGTGATACATCAAGCTTCATGATTTTGCAGAGCTCGGCCAGACCTTATTGAGTGTTTACGGTCTTATTGGGTCTCACGGGCATGTTCCAGTGTCCCCAGAAATGTTCCGATCCCCCGGAGAATGGAAAATTGTCAACAAGAACCGTATGAATGTCAATGATGCTTTCACGTTCAGAACATGCGTCACTATCCTTGATAAAAATTGCAACTGAACACGTTTGGCACACAGGACTAAAACGTCGTCAATCTGCAAACAAGTCAAATTTCATAACCTAACCTTAATCTCCTCATCTCTTTTTATCACCCGCTAATATTGACAGTTATGCCGGGTTTGTTTTGGCCTCTATTTGTTCCTATCTCTTTCATTCTCATGAAGAAAGGAGAAAAGGGGACGGCGAAACGAGAGGTTAGCTTTTGCGTGCCGTGCTTTATTGAAATCATGCTAATTTGACAGATCATCTTGTTTGTTTACGATTATGCTTGGTTTATGTCACCCTGCAAAATGTTAAATAGAGATATTATCAAACGATTTTTAATTGGCTCACTACTTGACTAGCCTATCCAGTATTTTACGATCGCTTATGGCCGCCACAATGTGGCTGGGTTTCTGGTAGGGAACATAAGATTTGAAGTTTGGCTTGTGTCGTTTGTGTCAAACGACACAAGCCAAACTTCAAATCTTATGTTCCCTACCAGAAACCCAGCCAGATTGAGGCGGCCATAAGCGATCGTAAAATACTGGATTGGTCCCAAGCAAATCGATTAACGTACCCCATTCCAGTCGAAATTCTAGTACTACACTATGTTTGTTTTGATTCGCTATGAAAGTTTGACAGATAAAATGAGGGGTTAGTGGATTTTCCTATGTTTCGAGGGGTGAATCGATTAGCTTGGGACCGAAGATAGTACCAGAGCTGAGCCAGAAAGTTGAGCACGTTTCTTCGGGACCTACTAGTCTTAGAATTACCTCTATGATATTATTCTACATCATGACCATGTCAATTGTCAATTTTTAAACAATTTCATAATTTGTAATTACTTTTTCGGACTAATAAGAGTGCTTGTGAGGACATTTAGTTTTTGTCATCTTACCGCTTTCTATGTTGCATGAATGCGATGTCAATTAGGTTTAGTGGTTGTCGAGAAATGTGGACTCTGAATAAGGCCGAGTTCTACAAAACCATGTAGCATGATATGTAGCACGACGGATTTTGGTTCTTGATGCGATCAATAATTTCATTACCAGGGGTCACATTGGTCACCTTAGAAATGCACTGGTGCTCCCGGGGAAGTGGTCAATTCTCGACAAGAATGCAAATGCACACATCAAACTTCATGATTTTGCCAAGCTCGAGCGGTAATGGCCATATTGATAGTACACGGTCACACTAGCCCACACTGGTTCCCCCGAAAATGTTTCGGTACCAAGAACCGAAACCCGTCGTGCGACATCCCTCCCCTTGGCTAGTTTTTTAACCTGGACGTTGGTGGGTGGGCCAATCTTATGCTTCATAGTGGAGCGTTGGAGACGGTTGGTTTAGGTCCGGCATCGTTGGCTCATGGCGTCATGAGCATGCGATGAGGATTACTGAGCTTCCCCTCTCTGATGAACCATTGCATAAGAGAACCAAAGTTCTAGCCTGAAGTGATAGTATAACACTTGTTACTCCTTTATTTGAAAGCCGTAGTATGCTTATGTATAGGCACTGACGTTGGGTGCGATACTGGCGGGTTTTGCCGCAAATCACTCTTATTTTATTTATTTTTACGCAGATAGATTTATTTGGGTTTGCAAGGGAATTATACTGTTGAAATATTTCAGAAAGTGCCCAACAGTGCTCCTTCTACTTGCGTGACAAGCTTTCGTTGTTGTTTTCATTGAGGTATTACTCAGGGAACAATGTTAAACACAATTTTTGTACATGGTATTGCAACTAATCTTATATGTGCTTCATTTTGATTTGGGATAAGTGTTTGAACTATGGCTCGGGATTTCCACTGTGGCGTGCTTCTATTGTGACATACCCACACGTATTTTTGTGATGCGACGTGTGAGCGTAGTTGAAGCATATACCCTATGTAATTTAAAAATCAGCTAGGAAACTAACTTCAAAGTGAAGCATTTTAGTCACTTGAAGGTATCACCTGGGACGAACTAATATATATTAAATATAGGTCAAAGTCAAAAACAACTTGAAACACGTTAAATTTTGGATTACATTCACAAGTGCAAGTACTTAATAAAGCATGGTAGGTAGATTAGAGATTTCAATTATTTATTAAATTACACTAGAGATATCATAATCATCAAACGAACTTAAATAAGAAAATTTAGACAGCCTAGTAGCATTGAGTGGATTAACAGAAGAGTTAGGATGCGGAGGGTCCGCTCAGGGAGGCAACTAGCCTTTAAAGCAACTGGCAACTAGCCTTTTCATGTATTGTCTGTTTATTTTGATTATTGCTTTAAAATATCAATTTGGTATATATGTGAAAGGATGAATCAGTGGGAGATGGATTTTCCGTTTCTTTACATTTAGCATCACTATGTGTCATTTCCTCAAAAGCCCCCAATAACCTGCCTCTTCAATCCCTTCCTTTTCCCATGGCGTTCAAGTGGTCCGCATAGACTATTCAGTCATTACCCGTCCTTTATCCTCGGCTTTGGATTGACTTGCGCTCCCATTGCCCCACCAAACGCTGCAAAATGAAAATGAAAGAACCGAAACCCGTCGTGCGACATATCAAACTCTCTCAATAAGGCCATTGCCGGTCGAGTTTTGTAGAATCATAAAGTTTGATATGTCGCTCAATGGGTTTTGGTTCATGTCGAGAATTGGCCACTTGTCCGGGTTTACCGGAACATTTCTGGAGGCACCAGAATATGCCCGGGAAGGCTTATATGAGTGTGGACTCTCAATAAGACCATTACCGGCCGAATTATGTAAATTCATGAAGTTTGATGTGTCGCACGACAAGTTATAATTCCTGTTGAGAATTGGCAACATCCCCGAAGGCACTGGTATATTTCTGCACCGGTTAAATTTTTGCATTAGTATAATTGTGCGGCAAGTACAATCATACTCTATGCCCAGGGAAGTCGAGAAATTTTCCAACCCGAAAAATTCCTAGCCCGGACCGGGAATCAAACCCAGCCACCTCCAGCATGGTCTTGCTTTGTAGCTGCCCCTTTACCGACTGAGCTAAGGGAGGCCCCTTAACATCGCGAGAATTACTAACCCTTTGTCTGTACCTTTGGGTCAATTTAACCCCAGACTACTTTGAAAGGCTGTAACTTTTGTATCTTCAAATGGATTTAACTAATTCTTTCGTGACTAGGTGCGTCCACCGGAGCTCTGTAATATAAAATGAAATCTGGTCCAAAAATCTTTAAAAAGTTATTGGAAAAATGGTATTGAAAAACTTCCGTTGTCTGTCCCTGGGGTCAATTTGACCCCAAATTTCTGAATTCTGAAATTTCAAATGTTTAAAATAAATAATTTAGAGGCATTTCAGTTAAAATTATTAAATATTGTTTGGAGGGGCGGATCTCTTGAGGGGAGGGGTCATTGTAAAAATATACCCATGAAGTGGAATATTTTTATGTTAGACATGTTTATATCTCGAAATTCAAACCATATAGGATGTTCCTTCCCTTCCTTCAGGAATACAAGGTTTTCAAAACTATGGATAGTTTATGACATAACATACTCACTAGATGGTGCTAAGACGAAAATGATCAAGTTTCGCCTTCTTAAATACAAATTATATGGGGGAAATGTCGGCTTGGGCAATAACTTAACC